ATTTGAAGGAATAATTGGTTGAACCAAAAGAAGAAATAGACAAATCCTTAATTAAAGTTGTAGATCCCAATAATCCCCTCTGAATAATTGATAGACCATGTAAAAAAAATTTAATAAGGATATAAATGTCTTGAAAACACTATTAACCAAGTCAATTGAATTGACATTTGTGCATCACACCACTCATCAATAGAAAAATGCACATTCTTTTGAGTGCACATGAAACATTCACCAGAGTAGATTATATGCTGGGTCATTAAACACATCTCAATATATTTCAAAGGATGGAAATTATACAAAGTATGTTCTTTAACAGAAACAAACTAGAAATCAATACCAGAAAAATATCTGGAATATATCTTGATAATTGGAAATTGAATGACATATTTCTAAATAACAAATCAGCCAAAGAAGAAACTGAATGTGTTTTAAGTGAATGAAAATAAAAGCCATAATATCAAAATGTATGGTATACAACTAAGCAGTACTTAATGGGAAGTGTATATCTTTAACTGTTCATATTAGATCTAAGCTTTCACTTAAAAAAAAAAAACTAGGAAAAAAAAAGATTTAAAATGCCAAGCACACAGAAGAAAAGTAATAAAAGAGCAGAAACCAACTACATAGAAAACAGAAAAATGTTAGAAAAAATGACCAGCTTGTTTTTCAGAAAGAACAATAAAATCAATCAAGAGCAAAGATGATGGAAAAGAACAATATCAGACACCAAGCAAACACATTAATAATTTGGACAACATAAATGAAACAGAAAAGTCCTTGAAAGACACCAAGTATTACAGTTCACCAGTGAAGAAATAAGTAACCTGAATTACTGGATGTTAGTGTAATAAATTGAATTCGTAGTTTAAAAGCCCCATATTTTAAAACTCAAGGACCAAACTGATTTACTTGATCAATTCTACCAAACATTTATGTAAGAAATAGTACCAATTCTGCACAAACTTATTAGACAAATAGAAGAGGAGGAAGACATATTGCACAAGTCCATTTCTTAGGCCAGTATTACCCTGAAATGAAAACCAAACAAAGAAGTGGAAAGAAAATAACACCATGGATGACTTTCCCTCATGAACACAGATGCAAAAATCCTCAACAAAATACTAGCAAATTGAGTCCAACAATATATCAAAAGGGATAACACATCATGGTAGCTTATCCCAGCATGCAAGGTTGGTTTAACCTTTGAAATCAAGCAATGTAATTTACCATATTGACAGACTAGGACTGAAAAAGCAGAATAACATAATCATCTCCACAGATGCAGAAAAAGCATTTGAGAAAATTAAACACACATTCATTATAAAAACTCCAAGCAAACTAGAAATAGACAGGAATATCTTCAATGTGATAAAATGTATCTATTAAAAATACTGCAAATATACTCAATGGAGAAGAATGAAGGCTTTCTCCTTAAGCTTAGGAAAAACAGCAAGGTTCTTCACTCTCACTACTTCTACTGAGCATTATACTGGCAGTTCTCTAGAGTGCAATAGGCAACCAAAAGAAATAAAAAGTGTCTAGATAGAAAAGAAAGGAAAAACCTATATACACAGGAAATATGATTTTGTAGAAAATTCTAAGAAATATACAGACAATATCTACCAGAACAAATAATTACATTTATCAGTGCCACAGAAAATAAGGTCAAGATACCCAAATGAATTTTACATATTAGCAATAAACAATTGGATATTTAAACTAAAATATACATGTATTTTATATGTACAAAGCATCAATTATAGTACATCCTTGGGAATAAATTTAACAAAATATGGGCAAACTCTGTATGCTGAAAGCTACAAAACATTGCTGAGAGAAATTAAAAATTATAGCAATCTTCCTTTCAAGGTGTTTATACTCTAATGAAGAAAGCAGACAATATTTAATATAAATAAGTTAAAAAATACATAATATGTATTAATATGATTAGACCTAGAGAAATAAATCAGAGAAAAGGGTTATAAAAAGTTAGAGGCAAGACTGCTAATATCTAGATTTATTAGCCATTGAAGGACATGGAAGGCCTCACTTAAAAGGTGACTTGAGAAAAAAAGCCAAAAGAAATTAAAGGTCAAGAACATTTCAGGCAGAAGAAAGAGGAAGTACAAAGGCCTTGAGAATGGCATGTGCCTGGCTTGCTCTAGGATGGACAGAGACTGACGTGGCTGGAATGAAGGGGATGGGACTGAGGGGAGAATACTGGGAGATGGACGCAGAGAACTAAGAGGGAACTGGGTCCAGCAGGGCTGCCTGGTCAGTCAGGACTTGGCTTTTCCCACAGGTGAGATGGGAAGCTGTGGGAGGGTTTCCCGGGGGAGCAATGTGATTTGCATATTTGAGAGATGCCCCTGGCCACCTGGGAAAGTAGGTAGAAGGCCACTGCAGTACCTCAGGAAAGAATGCACACACCTTAGACAAGGGTAATGGTGGTGGGAAAGAGAAGAAATGGTTCCAAACCTATTTTGAAGGTAAACCAATGGTATTTTCCAACCACATAGATGTAGGGTGTGTAAAACAGAGGGAAAGAAAAAAGATAGCCAAGAGTTTGACCTAACAACCAAGCTAATGGGGTTGCCACTATCTGAGAAGAGGAAAAAGGTTACAGGAGCTGAGCAGGTGGGAGTGGAGTACAAGGGCTCGGCCTATTCCCATTGACTTGAGGTATCCATGTGACACTCAGGTAGAGATGTCAGGGAGGCAGTTGGCCAGACAAGTCTGAAATTCAAGGCCAGGTCCAGTGCAGGTTCAGGTGGTCTGGGCTGGAGACATGAATGTTGGAATCCTCAGCCAGACGGTGCATGGTTTTTACAACCATGAGTCTGGATAACACCACCTAGGAAGTGAGGAGATCCAAATATCAATCCTTGAGCACTCCAATATTCAGAGCTCAGGAAAACAAAGAGAAGCACAAAATAGCATGAAAAGAACCAGTGAGGGAGGTAGGAGAAAAGCAGGTGATGAGTGTCCAGGAAGCCAGGTACAGTCAGGGCTTTGAGGAGTAGAGAGACTGGTCAGCTGTGTCAAGTAAGATGACAGCTGAGAAATTATGGCACTTAGCAAAGTGAGTCTCTGATAACCTTGAGATTGTGGTCACGTGGTGGGGATAAGAACATGACAGGCAGGAGTTTAAAAATGAATAGGAGGAGAAAAATGGAAGCATGGAGAGTATTTTCAAGGGAAAGTGGATAGACAGTTTTCTAAAGATAAAATCAACATTGTCTAAAACATGGATAGTAAGGATCAAATGTATCCACAAGCAGTGAAATAGAAACTAAACTATCAATGAGGCTCCACTTTACATCTATGGGAGGGTCAAAATTGAAGGAAAAACACCTTATGCTTCCAGAGAAGGGAAGAAAACATGCATTCATACATCTGTGGTGGGAGTGCACATTCCAAAAACATTTTTGAAAAACAGTTTGGCAATATCTATTTAATTTTAAAACTTGTAAATTGTCCACCCATGGATATCTATTCTATATGAAAATGTGAAAACCACACATATATCAGCAAAGACATAGATTGGGATCTTTATTACAACACTGTTTATAGTAAGAGCTCACTAGAAATGCTTATAATCTATTCTCATTATTCACAGCTTCTATATTTCCAAATTCACCCATGTGATAAAATGTATCTGTGAGCCCCGAGGAGATAATCATAGCACTTTTGCCATCGTTCTCCGGCATAGTGCAAAAGATTTGAGTTGTCCAATGTTGGCATTCCCAGCTACAGCAGAACAAAGCACTATTCTGCTTTTTCATTTCAACTTTCATGCTATGAACCACTGTCCTTTTCTGTTGTTCCATTTGGTGCTCATTTTGTTGCATGTTTGTGCTTTATGCTGGTGATCTCACTGTTGAAAGCGGGTCCCAGGCATAGTGCTGAAGTACTGTATAGTGTCACTAAGTGCAAGAAGGCTGTGAGCGCCTTATGGAGAAAATGCGTCTTCGAGATTAGCTTTGCTTAGGCATAAGTCATGTGTTGCTGGCCATGAGTCCAATGTTTATGAATCAACACTATATATTCGATAAGGTGTCTTTAAAAAGAAAGACACATAAAACAAGGTTATCTATTGATCATGTGACTAAAATGTTGTGACCAGAGGTTCAAAGGAACCTAACATTGAGTCTCTTCTAGAGGCAATGGTTCAGTATCCACTAGTTCCACATGAACTAGTGTTCGTGATGACTTTATAGAACAAAGCTATAAATAACAGGAATGCATTGTCTACCTTTGGTGAGAATTGAGTGACTAGATTAAAGTATATCCCATGGTGTGCACTATGCGATATTATGAATTCTTGAAAGATCACTACTCAATCAAAGGAACCCAAGTCCTTGCAGTCATTTCCTTCATTTCCTTAAGGCATTGTTGCATGAGAAAACTAAGGTGCAGAGGAGCGTTATGTGATGTCACTTCTTTTTTTTTCCTTTTGGAGATAGAGTCTCGCTCTTGTCGCCCAGGCTGGAGGGCAATGGCGCGATCTTGGCTCACTGCAACCTCTGCCTCCCGGGTTCAAGTGATTCTTATGCCTCAGCCTCCCAAGTATCTGAGACTACAGGCATGTGCCACCACACCTGGCTAATTTTGTATTTTTTTTTAGTAGAGATGGAGTTTCACCATGTTGGCCAGCCTGGTCTTGAACTCCTGACCTCAGGTGATCCATCCACCTCGGCCTCCCAAAGTGCTGGGATTACAGGCTTGAGCCACCGTGCCCAGCCTTTAATGCTTATTTATATTGGCTTATCTCAGTAAGTCCAATAAGTAAGTTTTGCTGAAATTTGAAAAAAAAAAAAAACAAATAAAATGTGAAAAAACATCCATTAGCTAAATATTATTCAACTAACAAAGAAAGGATATAGCCATTTTAATAGCTAATTAATTTTGAAAATGGCACCAGCAGATATAATTTTATTACAAGATTCTGACTTGTTATATGTAACGCTTTAAAATTCTTTGTCTATTTTTTCTTTTAGGAATCATTAAGAGCCATCAAATATGAAATATCTCCGGATAGAGAGTATGCACTTTTTTCATACAATGTGGAACCAGTGAGTATTATCCTTTTCTGCCTACAAAAGAATTGTTTCTTTATGCTAATATCTCATTAAGTACATTTCCTTGACTCTTCTATACTTAGTGATCTTTGAATCCAGAAATATGTTGTACATCCTGGAAGTCTCTTTTGCATATCATACTGCCACCTAGGAGAGAGGAAAGGTATAAAAATCTGCTTGTCGGGGAAAAAAGTCACATAGTTTAGAGGCTTTTTAATAGACTTTTCTGAGGAAGATGGTAATAATTTGTTTCTTCATAGACACGAATCTTGCCTTTTTGTGCAATTATTTTTCTGGCTGCTTTCTCAATGAAATAATAGATTTTATCCTAAGAACAAAAAGAACAAAAAGCAACTGCTTAAACTGAAATAATATCCTAAGAACAAAAAGCAACTCCTTAAACTGAAATAATTTGTTAATTATCTCCTGGCCATCATAGTGTTCTAGTGAAGAGTTGAAGCTATCACTTCCATTATATAAATGCCTATTTTTAGCACTTCCTGTATATATAAGGAAGTGCTAAACATTTCACCATAACATTTCACCATAATTTTCTGGAAAATCTCACTGTGCTTTAGTAGCAGTATAAAACTTCCTAAGTTTTATATCTTCCTCCTTCCTTCCTCCTCCTTCTTGTTTTTTCATTGAACATGCTGGTATTTCAAATTTCATTTTGGCTCTTTAATTTTAAATAAGCTGGAACGTAAAGTTTATTTGTATAAGTGGAGAAGATGTCCAGTTTATAAGAGATAAGCAACTGTAGAAATGTATGTTTTAAGAACTTTCCTCTTTGTCAAATAAAATATAGAATCTACTACTGCCTCCCTAGCATGTCTGAGACCATTTGAATTGGAGTTTCTTGATGCTTCTGTGAGGTATAATGACTCCTGCATTTTAATTCAGGTCAGAATGGCTCAGTGGTGAGTTTGAGAGAATCTTCTCGGCATGAGACAGTTGAGCTTTTTGGTTTATATCCACTGGGAAAGCTGGGATATTGGTTTGCATGAAGATGCAAGTTCAATTCTGAATTCTTAAACTTTCTTTTAGGAGTTGATTGGACAACTAGATTACTGGAGATTTCAACTTTATTCTTCCAACTGTAGATTTTTTGGACTCTGTTTCAGTCTTCCATTTTTCCATTTTTAAACGTCCATTCTATAAAGTTTTTCATTTTTTTCCATCCAAATTCTTTGAAACAATTGGGCATCTTTATCTCTTTGATTGGGACCAGTAGGTGAACTTGACATTCTAAAAAGCTTGGGACTCTGCATTACCTAGACACAGCCTTAAACTTGCCTCTTTCAGCCTCAGGCACCTGGTTGCAATGTGCACGGATCATAGACCATTTCAGCTTCCTTCATCACCCTTGAAAACCACCAAAAATATAATCTCCACACCTGTATAAAAGAAAAATGTTAGCAGATATTTGAAAGTCTTTCATGGATGTGTTCTGGGTTGCCCCAGGAGACACAGCTAACACCTGAGTGAGAAAAGCCTAGAAAGACAAATTGATTTCAGGTTATCTTCCTAGAGAATCTTTTAATCATTGGAGCACCCCAACAGTGGGATGGCGGTAATGAGTATTCTGCTCCCAGAAGCCTCAAAACAAAGTGAGGTATTTGTTCTCCAGAATGTGACAGAGGGGTTCCCACCCCCATGTGATTGGAAGAGGCATGCTGTCCTCAGTGGTGCTGTGGTTCTGTGCATGATACAATTCTCCACCACTTTCTTCTGCTTCCCAACACTCTGTTTGAAAGAGTTCCCTGGGATCCCATTGAACCAGAAACCATTTTGATGAAGATCATTTTGCTAAAGATGAGTCTTCACCATGTGGAGCAGTGGCTCTAAACAGGAACCTTGAAATAACCCTTTCTCACTGGGCAGTATTTGTCAGTGTTTGGAGTAAGACTCTTCGGTTTGTTTTCTCAACTGAAGGAAAACCTAGAAAGTTTGAAGTGTATTTAGAGAACTATAAAAATGATAAAATATCGAAAATGTTAAAAAGTCTATAGAAACAGATACTTTCAACTTGAATAAAATAAGTAATCCTTAATAGTTTTCAGTACCGAGCAGTCACTGTATACATGACTATTCAAGCAAGTATTCTCTGCTCTTCTGAAGGAAAAATTATAAGGGAAAGAGGTTGGGATTCAGCATGAGAATTTGGAGTTAGATATTAGGAAGATCTTCCTAACTAGATCAACTAAGATGTAAGTAGTATTAGAAAAGGGAGGGGTGAGTTTCAAAGGAAGAGTCTAGGTCTGTGATTCTGGAATTAGTGGAATAGACCAGGACTTCCTAATCAGTATTTAGTATCAGTAATTATTATTGCTAGTATTGTATTAATAGTACAATCAATTAATAATATTATATTATCCATTGGTATTCCTTAGAAACAACTAAAGGTTCCATATTCAAATACATTTGAGACCTCTAGTTAAACAGGTAAGTTTCTTGAAGTTCCTGATATTCTCATGATGGTTACATAGCACTTACCGAGTGGGTATTACAACATGTGATTCCAATCTAATTATAAGGAATTATAAGGAAACTATAATTTGTTATTTGGATTCAAGCTCAACATATTCTTATGTGTGTATCTCAGGCAGCTAGTATAACTTGTTTATGTGAACCGACTCAACTTTTCATTAAAAAGACTATCATAAAAATGTTTTCGTGTAAACCAACTGTCCAATTATTGAATATCTTTCATTTATTTCAGTATATGTTTCATTTGCAATAAAATTTTGATATACTGGGTTACCACTACACTAAAAAAACAAACAAAAAAAATACCCTATATTTCAATATTTCATCAGGATAATTATAATCTCTTCAACCTCTGCTTCTCTGTGTTGCCTGCCCAAAGATACTGGACTTGGAAGTCAAATAATCATAGGTTCAAGGGCTCATTCCGATGCTCACCAGCTATGTTTGCTTGAGCAATGCACTGAGTCTTATGCACTGCATCTTGGAGCCATCTTCCTGGGAGAACCTGGGCTTCTGTTTCCCAGTGGTGAAGGGCGACCCAATAGGTGTCAGCTCCCTACACTTCCAGGGTATATGTGTTTGAGCACAGAGTAGTTCCGTGTGTACACCCAGGACCAGATTTAAGGCTCTATCCATTTTCACTGGAATGAGTTGATGGATGCCTACATGAAATCAGCTGCCTTGGCAGTGGCTCAAGTAGGAGTGAGTAAGAGCTTTCCAGCACAGCATGGGTGGTAAGAGAAAGGAGTAAACAAGACCAGATCATTAAGGAGTTTAGACACAAATAGTACAGCAACATCCTGAGAATAAGAGTTGAAGGAAAGATTTTTAAGTTTAATTTTTAGAATATGCATTGGGTATCTCTTCTTCTCATTTATTCAGAGACTAATTGCAATGTTATATCATTTCCCAGTTGTTTGGTATAGACTAATTTAATTTGTCCATTTTTATATTGTCAGATACTCAAAGACAGGGACAGGTCTTTTTATCTCCTGTCTGTCCCCACCGCAGAGGACCCAGCACAGGGTCATCTGTGTACATTTAGTACTGAGCAAATATATTTGTGGTGTATCTTTTCTCTGAACCCCTTAGCACTATACCAAGATACAATCCAAGTTCTTGAAATTCTATCAAATCCACAAAATATGTAATGAAAGGAAAATATCTCAGTTGTGAAATATCCTAATAACGTTCCATGTTTATTCTAGAAAGGTGGAATCATGCTAATTAGCATATTTTTTCCTATTACATTCTTCTAATATTACTAAATGTATAGCTTGGCTAGCATCCTTGAACCTACACAAGTTAGCTTATCTTAATATGCCAACCCTATATTTTTTTGAGAGCTTCAAAAGTAGCCTTTAAAAAGATATTTCAAATATCAATTATCAAGTAAAATCGAGAAACAGCAAACCCAGTTTTCCATTTTTTCAAGCCTCAGACACCTATAGGTTATAAGTAGTGTATCTGGAATGTGGAAAATAATAAACAGTATTGTGTTTGTATTTCTGTGACACCAGCATCATAGTTTGCAATGTGTGCTTATTAACACCATCTTATTTTATCTCAAAAGATCATTCCTGTTCCAAAGAGACATTTGCTAAATGAGTTTTATTTTATTTTACACATAAAATTTCATAACATTTCTCAGTATGCAGTTTCTGAATATTCTCTTGAAGCTAAGTTAGACATTGGAGAAACAGCAATTTTTTAGTTTTAATTTGAAACTGTATTAACTATACCAATAAAGAAAAATTGCCTTAAAACAAATGTATCTAATTAGAGCAGCCATGCTCTTTTACATTGAGATGTATTTGACAAATAAGAAACATTTCCAGATCTCTTTGGGGAGAGAGAAAAAGAATGTAAAATGCATTATCTAAGATCATTTAAAAATATTAATACTTTTTCCTACTATTTTAATATTACTAAATGTATAGCTTGGCTAGCATCCTTGAACATACACAAATTAGCTCATCTTAACTATGCCAACCCTCTGTATTATTGAGAGCCTCAAAATAGCCTAGTATTAATATCTTAGATCATTTAAAAATATTAATTTCAAAGAGCTAAGAGAAAAATATCTTCCTTAAAGAATCATTTCAGAAAGAGTCACTGAAGATTTGTGAAGAATTTCATTGCAATATTTAAAGGAGTTAGTTGAGATGATTGTATCATTGCCAGTGGAACATCATTTTGGTCCAAATGAAATTCTGTCCAAAATCTGGTCAGATTTTAAGATTTTTTTCCCTAAAATCCCAATCACACAGTCATTCACTCAGTAAAATGGGTTGATACTCTGATCTGTTTATAAATTGTTCATATAACTGAAACAGATAAACCGATCCATTTTAGTTACTTGTCACTGCATAGCAAATTATTCCAAAACATAGCAGCTGAAGACAGACAACACGTATCATCCCAGTTTCTGCCGGTCAGAAATCTGGGCTCAAGTTAGCAGGATCCTTGCACTCAGGGTCTTCTATAAAGAAGACTGTGGTCAA